AAAAAAAATTTATATATTTAAGAAAAAAAAAAAAAAAAAAAAAATTTATTTGAGACTTGAGAGTTTGGTTTGAGAATTTCATTTTCTAATTTCACTTTCATTAAAAAAGGATTAAATATGGTTTTAGTCCTGAATATTTTTCAATTTTCACTTATAGTCCCTCAATAAATTTTATTTAGATTTAGTTCTTTCTTCCATTAACAAAAATCTTGATGCTAGAGACCAAAATTTAAATGGGAGGAAATATTCACATACTAAAAATAAAAGTCGACAAAAGTTTGGAGATTAAAATTAGTAAAAAGAAATTATTCAACCCAAAGAGTGAAAATCGAGATACACTGAATGATTAAAAATATATTTAATCTTAAAAGAATGGCACTTTATGTTCACCCTATTTTCTATTTTCAAAAGTTTATATGGGAATAAGGATTTTAATTTCTATATGTTATTAGTGTAAAAGGTTTTTATCAAAAATCATGTTAGGTATGCCTTTGAAAGTAATTATTGTAAAAGTCACTAAACTTACCATCCAAATCGAAAATGACAATGAAAAATTCTTTTATGCATACAAAACTTACTCAAAATAAAAACTTCAAATGGAAAACAATAAAAAAGTTGATTTGTTTCCCGTAAGAACTTTTCAAAATAGGAAACAAAGAAAAACGAAGTGTCGTTTTTGTAACTAGAAGTAAGAGAGAACATTTTCTTAAACCAAATGACCCTTGATCTATTTCCAGAATTGTGGTCCCAAGCATAGAGCGAACTTTGTAATTTGTATGGTGAAGTTTTAATATTGGATAATGCATTTTGGCTGCTTTCAGACTTATACTGAGACGGTTGGTCATAATTTTGCACTCAATGCAACGTTTGATGAAGTTGATGCTGCAAGCTATGATGGGTTGTGGTTGCCAGGTGGGAGGGCGCCAGAGTATCTTGCTCATATTCCCAGTGTTGTGGAACTGGTGACCAAGTTTGCCAGTTCGGGAAAACCAATTGCTTGCATTTGTCATGGACATTTGATTGTGGCGGCTGCTGGGGTGGTTAAAGGTCTCAAGTGCACAGCGTATCCTGCTGTTAAATCAGTATTGGTTGCTGCTGGTGCTCATTGGGTTGAACCTGACTCCTTGGCAACAACCATGGTGGATGGTAATCTCTTTACTGCATCTTCTTATGAAGGGAACCCAGAGCTTATTTGCCATTATGTGAAAGCATTAGGAGGCAAAATAAGTGGCTACAATAAAAGGATTCTCTTTATCTGCGGGGTAGGTTCATTTGTTATTTCCTGAGATACTGCTCAGTGCTCACCTTACTTCTCTTGCATGACTAGTTGTAGGAGTAGAATTTCAGGCATAGAGTTGAGACTACTTGTTTGAGAGGTTCCTAGCCACACATGGTGTAAGACTATCTTCTTACACTGTACCGTTGAGTAATTTCACCCAGATTTTGTAGGCCATTTGCCTCAGTTATTTCACCTAGTGTACCCAATAATTTCTTTGTTTTGGGTTTCATTCATAAAACTTTTCACTTTTATTGTAATGATAATTGATGAAGATGAGTTTTGACAACTTGAATCGTAGGATTACATGGAAGATTATGAGGTCAAGGTGCCTTTTCAGTCTCTTCAGGCTTTAGGATGCCATGTTGATGCAGTTTGCCCCTCAAAGAAGGCTGGTGACACTTGCCTAACTGCTGTGCATGATTTTGAAGGAGATCAAACATACAGTGAGAAGCCAGGACATAAATTTGCTTTAACAGCAACCTTTGATGATGTGGATCCTTCGAGCTATGACGCACTTGTCATTCCCGGAGGTCGGGCACCTGAATATTTGGCATTGAATGAGTCGGTCATTGCCTTGGTGAAGCATTTCATGGAAAACAAGAAGCCAGTGGCCTCTATCTGTCATGGCCAACAGATTTTATCGGCTGCTGGTGTTCTCAAGGTATTATTACTGTAAAGTGTAAACTCATTACAAACCATTGTCTGTTATTGTTATGTTTCACACATGCAATCAACCTGCATTTGAGTTGAGCGACTATTGATATTGTTTGACTAAAGAAAAAAATGAATTGCATATCTGGAGGTAATCTTGAACTTCAGGTATTTTACTACTGTTTTCTTTGAACTCTTGTTCATTCTACACTAGTTTCTATCCGTCTTCTTTCGGTCAAGTGCTTCTAATTCACTATCCATTATGAATTGATTAAATCTTTGGTCATGGGTTCATATCCTTGTTTACTAGAATAATAAGTAATACCTTTTCAGGTTTGATTAATTCTGTCGCCTCTTGAAACTTGAAAGGCTTGATGGATTATTGAATTCTATTGTGGCTATAGAGATGCTATGATTAGTTATGAGCTTATATAATCCACTCAATGATGTCTTGTCTGTTGCTTATACTTTTCTTATTTTCCTACACGTTTTTCATTGGTTAAAGTGGGTAGAAAAACACAAATGATTATCATTGAATATTATGAATAGGAAAAGAAGATACTTCTGTCATCCCCTTATTTCATTTTATCATCTATTGCTACAGAACTACAATTTTTGGGCTTTTCTTTTGTTATGAGATAATTGATATGCAATGGAGGGTAAAATGAAGTCTTAATGCTGCCATGACATACATTTTTGCTGTAACAGGGAAGGAAATGTACTGCCTATCCTGCTGTTAAGCTTAATGTGGTTCTGGCAGGAGCAACATGGCTGGAACCTGAACCCATAAGCCGTTGCTTCACTGATGGAAATCTGGTTACTGGAGCTGCATGGCCAGGGCACCCTGAGTTCATTTCTCAGTTGATGGCACTACTTGGTATTCGAGTATCTTTCTAGTTCTAGCTGCATTTTGTGATGTACCTAATAACAAATGAATAAAGCTTGGCAGTTTCCATATATTATAAATATGAGGATGTGTTTTACTGTACTGTATTTTGTGGTCCTATAATGTGCAAGGCATGGATGCACTTGTTACTTTGAGCATAAGGACTTTTTGGTGGTTGAGTTCAGTTCCTCTGTAATAAAACCATGCAGTATTTGGAGCAGTAAAACATTATTGGCGCATATAGTAAAGTAAATGATAATGCATTTTACTACACCAAATTTGACATTGTGCTGTATTTGGTTGGTCTAGTGATAAGTAAAGTAAATTTCATGAGAGTTGGATATAGCGTGATATGGTGCCTGGTTATGTACTACGTATGGAATGATTTTATTACACGGGAGCCGAATTCTGCAAGTTTGCAACTTTCTTTTTTCTATGAAATTATTATTTTTCCCAATTTTCACTAGTTGGTCCCTTCGAAGATAGGCAGTATTGTTGATATATATTAATTCAAATAACTTATTTTTAACTCCTAAATTTATTCTTATTAAATAAAATAAAATTAATATTTTAACTTGAACAATGTAAATGTTAAATATTTATTATATATAATTAAAAATTATAATAAATTATATATATATATATATATATAAATACTA